CAACACTCTCATGGTTCGAGTCCTTTTGCGGGTGCTAATGAGACCAGTTCAGACGAGGTTTGGATAAGAATAATATGTGGGAAAGCAAGGCTATGTGAAATTCAATGGAAAAGTAAGGTCTACTCATTAGATTTTGGGAAAATTAAATTCTCAGTCTCCTATACATGGTCTACGGACAATCTCAAAAACCGGCTTATAAACGAAAAAAGTGTAAATTATCTCTCCTTGAATATTTCGGAATATGGGATAGATGAATGTACTAGGACAAAAGTAGAAGAGATTCCATAACCGCTCGACAGAAGATCGGTCTCTTTGAGCTAAGCATTAAAACTGACAAAGTTAACTATCGATTCCTGCGTAACGTCCAGGACTATTCCACGTCCAATGTCATATGCTGGCTGGTGGCATTCTTTGAAGTCGCCCTGACAACACGACAGTGTTACAAAAGCAAGGTCATACTAATTCTGTACGTGCTCTATCCTAACGTAACCGATGCCTCTTGCTCAAACATCATGGAAGCAATATGCAAAATAACATGTGAGATAAGAAGGATCATCTCCATGCACGGCAGAAAAGTACTACGGAAAAAAGTTTCTGTATTAAGCTAGTGGAGAGCTCGATCACAAAGCTCATAGCATTCCTCATTATGCGATAATTCTGATGAAGAAAAACACACGTGTTAAAAACATAGGCGGTACCTTTTAATTGGGAATATGTAAGACATGATACTCTCGGATATCCTTTCAGGTCTAGAGGATGACGGATTTGGATTTGCCATCAATGCCACACCAGGTTCCAATCATACTCTCCCTAAGTGATTATAGCTTGTATGTTTACAGTGCATAGCATATTACTGCTCCTAATTCTCATGCGCGAAGGCATAGCAGGGCTTTGAGGTCCCTGATTACTGCTGGAATGCCAACCGGAATGTTAAACAGACCAAATTCGTTTATGCATTACACTTAAATCACATGTTTCAATTAATTTATAGCAATTGGAGCTCTCGAGTTCTGTCTTACCATCCCTTGTACTAACCTCTAACATGGTTTATGCTGTTCCATATTGCACAGGTGTCTGGCAGACAGGACAAACCGAAATTGCGTCGCTACACGACCATGACAAACACATCTTACCACACGAAGCATGGACGCTCGGATCTGCCGCGAGCCAGTGTGACCGAATTAGGCAGCCGGCAACAATGCCGGCGCTTGACAGATGGCGGTGGTCTGGAGAATCATCGGACGAGTCAAATGGTGGAAAGTATTTCTGGGCTTTCCGGGAAACCTCATTCTTGGTGTCAAGTACCAGATTGGACGGTAGGTCGGATGGGGCCGAATATAAGTCAGGTAGCGATAGTCGATTCTATTTTTAGCGACCACCGAATCCCTACTTCGGGAAAGTCCCACATTTTCTGTACGTATCCGTAGCATTTCTATATATTTCCAAACAGATTGAGTCTCATAAAGATTTCGACAAAAGACTGATACATTTTAAATTAATTTTTAAGATTGTTGGAGAGACTTCATTTCGTGTGAAAGTAAATGAAGCAGAGATTCATAGGTCGAACTCACGAGAGGACGACGACTGAGTCCAGTTGTACTGCAGCCGTTTGGCTTCAATACGACGTTCAGGTTGACACAGTCCACGAGACATCCTTCCTTGTTTTGGGTGAAAACGGGCTGAGCTTTCGACGATCATATGAGGAACATGATTAGAGCTGGAAATCATTTTGCAAAAGTCTCAAGTTAAAACTAAGTGACATGAGACTTTTTCAAAAATGAGTTCCAGCTCTGAATATGTCCTTCAGATGATGGACGAAAGCCCAGCCCTGTTTCACCCGAAACGAGGCAGGATGTCTCGTAGAATGCGTCCGTCTGAACCGTGTAGTAAAACCAAAAGTCTACAGAAAAACAGGAATCGGCCGTCGTCTCCCGGTGCGATCAACCAACGAATCGCTTCGTCCTGCACTGTCGTGCGAAATGCAAGTCTCTCCACCATGTTATCCTAAAAGATTCATCAAAACCTAGCCACTTTTCCTAACTATACTTTTTAAAATACCAAATAAATTAACTGGATGTATCAAATTCACATGATATGACTACAGCCTTCCTAAAAGTATAAGCCATTTTACAGAGTGACCTGCATTTGAATGAGCGGTTTTAAAACGGGAAACCACTTTCGCTACAAATCATATCTTCATTTTTCGTTTGTAAGTAGGCTTTTGAGACTACCAGTACATGCGCTGTTTGAGGTATATTCACCCTATTTTGCTTAAGACTATGTGAAATTCAATGGACACATAAGACTGACATATATACTCGTGGAAAAAATCCAACTGTGATTCCTTCGTCCCATAAAAGCAGATATGATGATTGCACCCAAAATTAATCTACAGGTAGTCTCAAAAACTTACCTACGCAAAAACAATAATTAATGTATCAATTTTATAGCATATATAACCTTGATTCATCAACAATTCCACCACAGAATGCCACGTAGTAAAAGGCCTTGCCTTGCCTTGCCTTGCCTGAAATTCACATCGGCCTAGTGACACAAGGACACTTGCGTCAGTTTGGAGTAGTGATTACCGTGTCACTGCAACAACTCGAGTTCGAGCCCCGCTGAGGTCTGATGAGCCACAAACGAGGTCGAAATAGCAGTCCTGTCTGGATGAGAACGCCTTTGTAGGAAGTTGTTTTGAGGCTGTGTGAAATTCAAAGAAAACAAAAGGACTATTCATATCATTGTGGGAAAGTCCTTCATCATCTTAAACAAAATAAAAGGACGACATCTCATATACATGTCCTCTTTGTCAAATCTGAATAAAAAATGTCTCGTAATAGGTTGTTCCAGACTATTGAGCGACCAACATGCCGTAAACTGAGCCCTATTTACGATACGTCTGAAAAGATTCATCACTTATGGCCCAATTTGTTGATGTTGAAATCAGCCTATGTACCAAAAATGGCAGCTAGAAAAAAAGTCTCTTACTTAAGTGAATTTTATTTTACAACCAAGGCTATGCAGATGAGTTAGTTATCCTGAAGTTATTCACTTTAATCGGCAACGGCCTGGAAACTAGTTTGAATGTGCATACTCACTCAATGCGCCATTGTATCATGATGGATATCAATGCAACTTCCTACACATAACGAACATCTCTTTCAAGCCTTAAATTCCGTAGCTAGACTGAAGTAGTTGGGCCGGAATAAATGGAGAGGTCTGCCTAGCTCGTGAGGATACATTTTTCCGTATAGATATATTATATGTCTGTGCCACATAAAGAACGGATGACCAGGTTCAATCGCAATTGATTATCTTCATATTTTACGTCATCATATCTGACAGTTTGTTCCATGCAGACGAAATATTGTAGAAATATAATCTCCTTCTTGACCTTCAAGAATAGGCTAGAAGTTTACCAAAGAAAACTTGTTCAAGTTTGTTGGAATTATAAAGAAGGAAACTTCTCTAATCCATTCAAGACTAAAGAGAAGAAGGCTTCGGAGCGCTACTAGTATTTTAACCACAAAAATAATATAACTAATTCAAAGATACAAGCTTTTATACATTTTGTTTTGTAGGCAAATAAGCAAGACCTATAGTCGACCCACGAATACTTAATTCAAATTTATGTGTTAATTGATTTTAGTGAGTCGGTGCGAAACTCTAAATGACTCTTTTATCGCCAAAGCTATAAGCATGGCTTTCGAGGTATCTTACTGTCTTTGTAACAGACTATTTTTTTAATATGGGTAAATACGTGATTTCAACTTCGGCCTTAGTTCCAGAATTTAAGAAATTAGCTAATCTATCCAAAATAGTAAAAAGTAACTACAAGCAAAAATGATTACAAATTCAAATCTTCACATTAATTATTCGGAACAAATGAAAATCCTCTAAGTCAGTACCAAGTTACTTCAAGTTTTGTGAATGGTTTTATCGGATAAACTTGTAGAATCTTGTTTAAAATCGAATAACAGCCGAGCATCACCCAAAGCTGATTTCATCGTGCTCAGTTGTGGCTCTTCCCCACAAAATAGTTTACAGCATCTTGTAAGGATAATAAATGAGAATATTTCATGTTATTATGAAAGACCAGACCAGGGATTAGTGGCTTATTGAAAAATTCATAAGTGCACTGCGGATAAAGTCAAAAGGCTGAAAGGGCACAGCTTGCCACCAACAGCTGGAACCAACCCCCTTAGAAATCCTTTGGGTCATTCTCAATACCAATTAATTGCAATGTCTTTTGTGGAATATTATACGCACATATTTACATATGTATATTTATTTATTTATTCTTATATATTATAGTATATTATTGTATTACATCTTAAATGCCTTCCTAGTCTTATTTGAAGCCAAATTAACTTATACCATCTTTTCGCATTTAAGGACGCGGCATGTCAGGGAGAACATCTGTGGCATTGTGTAACGGCTTCGTCTCGAGATTTCTGTTATGCTACTGATCAAGATTGCGTGGTATGCGAATTCCTTAGAAATCTGTTGTTACAATCTCGCTCAATTATCCTTAACGATGCCTTGGACTCTGTAATATATCCTATTAAATATGACTCATTCGATGCAATATAATTAGAACGCAAGCTACTAATTTAGATGTTAATTTATGCCTAATTAATATTTCCTTGTTCTAGAAAGTCGGGCAGAAGAAAAAGTGCAGTGCTTGTCACATTGTTGTGCACGAAGCTTGCCAGTCAAAGTTGGAAAAAGTAGGTTGGATTTACAAGTAATTATTTAAAACTCATAGATGCTGTCTATTATTTTTCGAATTAAGTATTGTTTTCGTGACTGTCAGTAAATCAGTAATATGAGATGTATTCACCCAATTTGGTTTAAGGTGATGAAGGACTGGTAGAAGAAGAATTTTCCCACAATCATATGAGTTGAGCTGATGTTTCCATTGAATTTCACATAACCTTGCTTTCCCAAATGTTGTTCTCATCCAGCATCGGTCTTATCAACACCCTCAGCGGGATGATAACAACTTTTGGGACAGCAAGGTTATCTGAAATTCAATGGAAACGTCAGCTTAACTCATATCATTGTGGGAAAATTCTTGTTCTACCAGTCCTTCATCACCTTAAACGAAATTGAGTGGATACATCTCATATTAAGATTTATTTGCTTACTTTTCCACTTAACTCGACACTCTATCTGGCAATTTGGTCAACAGTTTTAGTGCTAGAATTAATGACTACTGTTTATCAGGAGGAATATATTTTTATTGCGGGTAATTGCGACCGAGTTACCGCTAGTACCATTTAGTTCATCCGACTTGCGATTCATCAATTTCGTTTTTGGAGTGCTTTTTGCAGCTGCTAAGTTGCGGCCAAAACTTTTCTTACAGCGCAAATTCAGACGTTGTTACACTGTGTTAGAAACGCTCCCAAAGAGACAACGTTCAATCCACTGTCCCGAGGCATTCATGCATCTATCAATAATTATTTGCTTGTTAAGGCAGTATTGACTTGGAAACTAATTGCTTGAACGTGTCTCTTTTGTGAAGAAGAACGACAAATTTGTCTTCAAGTAGAATATCAAATATCCTAAGATATTCAATTTTGGGGCATTGTCTAAGGAAGTATAAGAATGCCATTTATGGTAAAATTGCCAGTCTAGTTTTTTGAACGTAGGTACTTATAATGAAAGCACAAAAACTGTGAATTGCCAGCGAAAATCACACTTTAGCTGGCTATATTTTTTTTCGGTTAAGTAATACCTCTTAGCATTTTTGTAATCATCTTTCTATTAAGGATGACAATCATTGTTTTTATCACTTATTATTTTGTTTGGCAGATGAATTTCATGTGCAAGCCAACATTTCGCGAAGACTCTAACTGCTCACGAGACAACCAAGAGGTAAGCAACAGGATTGCCAAGTGCCATTGGGAGAAAATTCATCAGAAACTAGTTCAGCTCTTTTCTGTTCTCCACGAAATGTGATTAGTGCCAAGGAAATCAAAGCGTATCCCTGAGCTGGCATCAGCACACCTCTCAGAAATCATATTTAACATCCAAACCTGCACCATATTAATTCACCTCCGTTGTACCAGTTGTCAAGACTGGGAATAACTGAAATATTCATAAAATAAAAAGATGTCATTTTATTGCAGGCTTTATTTAATTATAGTTGTTGGGTTTAATTAACCAAAGCTTAGCCTATTTTATTAATTATTTTTCCCAAAAAATAGGCAAATTTTAGCATTATTCATGATAGGATCTTTCGCGGATACAAGGTGCTATTCAATGCTTTGCTGTAGCCTTAGCCTTTAACTGCTTGATTAAAATTATTTTGCAACTCTAAACCATTCCTCTTTCAGCAAATAGTTCATCATCACTGGGTTCACAGGAGACGTCAAGAAGGCAAATGCTGGCAATGTGGAAAAGTAAGTTGCTTGACATA